CGTTTGCGAGGAGGGGGGAAAGCGGCAAGAGCGGGGCCCGGCACCGGCAACGCAACCCCCGCACCCGCGCCCCATCGCAGCGGCAGGGCAGCAGCCAACGCCGCGTTGACTGCTGGCAAGCCCGCAAACCCCGCGTATTGCGGCATCTCGAATTCGACCACCTGCAAAGACAAGCGGTCGTCAATCAGTTCTATCGTGTGTGTAGCAGCGAGAAGGAAGGGAAGGGAAGGGAAGGGAGGGGGAAGGGACGCGACTGACATATCTTGGAACGACGAGGTCGACGTATTTGACGACGTACACGCCGCCGCCTGGCTGGCACCACGACTCGAAGCCGTCCATTCCCAGTGGGAGGGGAATCGCTTGGCTAACTGAATGCAGGCGCAAAATAAACAAATGAATGAAGGAATAAGGACCGCTGAACTTACTCTGGGGCGTGCTCCGCCCGGTGATAACTGTTGTTGGTCTACTTTATATCATTTTGTAATGAAACAAGGCGAATGAACACGAACCACGACACATGAACATCCGCGACGCGCCCCGCGTGTACGCCAGCGAGGTGGCGGGGCTCGTCGCAAGGTATATACCGATACCGCAGGCGGCGCCATTCACCATGTGGACGCCGGGAGACACACCCGGGATGAGGAAGCCATTCTAATCGTAGCGATACAGAAAGGATTTAAAGAAAAAGTCGAGGTGGGCGCACCTTGAGCATCGGCTGGATGTTAGTGTCCGCCGTGCCGTGGAACAGGTTCTTCTCGGTGGCGTCGATGCCGAGCGCGGTGAGGGTTTCCTTTGCGGCTTCGAAGCGCGCCTCTAGGTTTGCATTCACAAACCATTGCACTGCCGCAGAGTTATTGGAAGCCCGGCACGATGAACATGGGACGTGCCTGTCTTGATCTTCATGTTCCCCAACGCCGGCTCAAAGTCGCGCTTGACCTCCTCCAAACTGCACGAAAGATCAGGCAGAGGTCAACCAGCGAGGAGATAACGAACTGTGCAGCATTATCAGGGTCATCGTCGCCCTCGATCGTCTTGCCCTCGGCGTCGATGACCACCCGGAACACGATCCCATCGTCAGGGACGTCCCGACTCTGCGCCAGCTTCTGCCGCTTCTCCGCCATCTTCTGATCCATCTCCTGCAGCCGTGTAATGAGGCGCAGACTTGGCTCCTCCGTCTCCCTAGCGCGCTCCTGCGCCGCCGCGTCCTCGTCGTCCCACCGCTTCTGCAGCGCCAGCGCCACCGCGCGATCGTCGTCCGAGTCGTCGTCTGGTGGTGGCACCGACTTCTGGACCTTGGCTCTCGGCGTCGCGTCAATTATTTCGATATCAGAGTCGGAGGATGGGGTCAGAGGGCGCTTTTTCTTTGGCTTGTTATTGTTCGCTCGAGGAGGAGTGTTGACGATTGAGGATGTCGCCAGCGGGCCCTTGCCTGTTTTGCGTCTCTGCGGCGTCGGAGGCTCCACGAACTCGATATCCGACCCATCCACGTCGCTGTCGATCCATATGACGGATGGCATCGTCGACCAGAGGGATGCGGTCGGTGGGTGCGGTTTGGGTTAGGGGGTTTGGCGGAAGCGAGAAAGCTGTGTAAGGCACGTGTTGTTGTTGACCTTTGTGGACGCGTCGCGACGCGTCGGTTCACCGACTCGGTTGCAGACTCTTTGCGATTCGCCGTGCAAGACTGCTCATACGCAAGGCTTGAAGTCAGTCCAAGTGCCGCTGGCACGTACGATTTGTAAAACCGCGGAAATTTCCCGAGATGTCCCGGCTCCGTGGACCGTGGTTCGAACCTTTTTATTTCAGCGTGTCATTGTGTAATTTGCCACTTTATTGCAGTTCGAATGCGCGAATCACTACAAAATTAAATTGCAATTGAACCCTCCTCAGACAGTACTTGTGTCCATCCCACCTGTCCTCACTTCGCGCAGCCTCACTCCCAGCCTCCCTCCCCAAGTTCCTCCCAGACGTCAAATTGAACCTCGCCCATGGGCTCCACGACACTCCCAAGTCCCGCCCTCACGCCTCCGTGTACCGAAATCTCCCCGGGACGATTTCTGCCATGCTGAAGGGGCGAGGTGCTTGGGGCGGAGGAGGTATTAAGATACATGTTGAAGCCCGCGAGGGTGGTTAGGAGGTGGTGTTCTGGGTTGGAAATTTATGTAAGTCAGTACGTGCGGCGGGGAAGTAGGGAAGAAAACTTAGAAAAGTGATAAGTACCTTGAACGTCTGCGTGATATCCGTGAGCCCTGCAGATATTGAGCGAGTAGATGGACTCGCGTGCACGATCAGGCGTGAATTGGATGCGTACGCGAAACCTGACCACCCATCCGGTAATTCATTATCTTCCATCAGCCTCGCAGAATTCGGGAAAGGATTGAAGAAATTGAAACACACCATAATCCTCCTGCCCACCGCCACGGCCTCCAGCGCGTCGTTGGACACTGTGTCTCCCCTCCACCATTGTTCCAGTAGCCGCCCGGACTCCTTATCAGCAATAATGGATCCAATGCAATTCAAGTTGAACGACGCACATACTATCAATATCAATTTACCCCTCCTCCTCAAGCACCTCGCGCGTATCGGTCGTACTGCGCCGATTTCTTTGAGGAATCTCCTTAACTTTCTCGGCGCTGCCGGCGGAGGCAATGAACTTCAGGGCCCAGGCCGACTTGTTTCGCTAGTTGGGTGACGACGACACTGGTTAAATCAAGTTCGGGTTTAGAATCAGTGGACAATAAGAAGAGACTGACGAGCCAGTCTCACCCGCGCCGCTGCTGACGAAGACTATATCGCCCTGCGAGTATTCAAAGTTATTCGGACACCGGGTATGCCAAGTGTGTTCCGTATGGCAGCGCGCACCATGGGGGAGTTGGCCTCGGGGGCGCGCACGTCGCTGACGGGAAGGGAGTCCACGGCGACGACGAGGAGCTTGATGAGGAGCCGCCGTTCAAGGGGACGGTCTCTACGTCGATCGTCGGCGTCGTGTGGTGCAGCGACGAGCGTCGTCTGGCCCGCCACCGGAAGTTCACCAGCTGGGAGGGTGTTAGTTGGGTGGATTACGCGTGGCCGGGTAGTAATGAGGTAAGCGTTGACGAGGACGCAACTGTTTGTTACGGGTGCCATCGGAAAGTGAGTGGTTGAATTCAAGTTGGATTGGCTGTTGAGTGCAGACAGTTTGGGAAACGACAGCAAGTCGACTAGAAAATGAACTAGGGAACCGTAAAAGTGGTTAATGCGGGCTAGTCACCTTGAATTCCGTCCACACACGACTGCGGTCCAGGGTGAATTTGGGGGTGATGCGGCAGCCTGAGGTGGGAGATGCAAATCTCGGTCGCAGAATTCCTTGAAAAACACCGAGTGGCCTCCTGTTAACTTGGAACTCGTGACTGATGAGCGTTCAATCGTGAGCACCATGAGCTGAGTAGACGTATACAGAGGAAACGAAGCCTGGGATGTAGTACTGGTTCGGTTTGTCCTGAATTGAATTGGTGAAAAATTGCCCGCGTGAAAGCAAGGTGAAAACTCGAAGATGGTTGACGCGGCTGATGCAGAAAAGAAGGGATGCCGTTGATACAGGCGAGATACACGAAAGCCTTCCTGGGAGTCACGTTCTGGGCAAGAGCACCAGTTACGCAATTGACGGCTTCCCGTCCGGGATAACCCGGCTTCCCACGGTTGAGTTTTTGTTCAACATTCGGTCAACCCTTCCTGAACTGAGGAGAGGCAGTGTGAAGAATTTGAGTACTTAATGGCCCAAGACTACATGAGGGCGTAACGAGTGCGGATTCGCATTGCAAGGTTCTGAATTACTATGAACCTCAAACACCTCACTTATTATGGAAAATTCTGAGTCAACACTGCTTTTTTGCGCCTTTACCTCGAGATTGCCTGGGAGCTTCATCTGAGAGGCTCCTCGGTCAATTTTAACAGTTAGAGCCAATGCTATGTGAACCACCTGCATGTACAAAGGAGGCGGGCTCCGGTTGAATTTCACTGAACCTGTGCAGAGTCTGCCGGTCATAGCTGTGTTTGGGAGATCGGGAGAGATGAGGAAATTGGGGGTGTTTCTATTCAACTGCCGGCGACGAGTCCTCGTTGCTCAACGGTAAAAACCGAGGGTCCCCCACATAAGCTAACTGCAACCCAATTCAGACAGAGTCAACTTTCCTTCTTCGCCCTTGCATTGCAAGGATGTTCACCCTTGCATTGCAAGGATGAAGTATCAGCATGTACATAGTGAAATTCAACTCTGCTTTGGGTCAGGTCGTGTCTGGGTGATCTTGCTGTACCCCGCGTGGGACCTTAGGCATTAACTTAAACTTGAACTTAACACGACTTGTCCATGTGACCGTGTGAAACAATTTTGAGCGACGGTAGCCGTCGCTGAAATCAAACTCCACTGATGAGCGAGTTTGAGCAATTTTTTCGTGGAGTTCATCGACGGGTCCAAATTTGACATGGAGTTGATTTTGAGCCACTGCACAACTGGCAAAAAAAAATGTCTACCTGCACCTAACCCGTTGACTAGGGGTTCTTCAAGTTGGAAGTGCCTGGAGACAAAGAATAATGAACCTTGCCTGTCACTAGTCCTTGGCAAAAGTGACAAGAGTTCGTCTCTCTGGACACTTTCACCCTTGCATTGCAAGGGGTGAAGCATTCAAGTGGACGCTAAGTCAACCTAGACTTTTCATTCCAAGTTAGGAGAGCCGACATGTCAACTGTGCTGAGTGGCAAGCTTGCAGTCTCCACCGCACTGTGGGACAGACAGATATAAGCTCAGTTGGGAGAGCGGTCACGTTGTACGTAGATGGCTGCGAGTCCTGGCCACCTCAGTGGAGATGAAGTCATACTCCAGTTGGGAGAGCGGTCACGGTGTACGTAGATGGCTGCGAGTCCTGGCCACCTCAGTGGAGGTCAAGTCATACTCCAGTTGGGAGAGCGGTCACGGTTGTACGTAGATGGCTGCGAGTCCTGGCCACCTCAGTGGAGTCAAGTCATAATCCCTCTTAGCTCAGTTGGTAGAGCGCGTCACTAGTACTAACACTAGGACATGACGAGGTCAGTCGTTCAAATCGGCTTAGCGGGAATTTCCTTTTGTCGATCTGGCTTACGTCGTTCCCTTTTTCATCACTATACGTTGGGAATCCATGAATCTCGTCCATCCTCGTTCCCCCCCAGCGCCATGTATTTTGTGGCAGCGAAGCGAAGCTCAACTTGACTCAGGTGAAACGAGAGAACTTCAAAATTTCGAACATATGGTTCAAAATTTCAAATGAGTTCTCCGCATAGAGAGAAACATATTGTAAAGCAGTGACCCAACCACTATTCTCCCCACTGATTCTTCAGACGGGATTCAGCGCCGCACGTGCTGGAACTTCCAGGAAATCACGATTCGAACCACGATCACCGCGTCTAGTTGGCCATGTTTGGAATCGGGGTCATCGCCGCCCAAACTCTTTCCCTTCCCCACTCTCGTTCTCCGTGCTGGAACCCTCCTTCGTCATTGTCCGCCTTCATTGCAACCCTCCGATCCGGAAATCTCACTGAACATCAACTCACACCGATGGCAGACTACAAATCGCTCAAGGAAGCATCGGTCTCTGGCCAGACTGGCTCCTCCATAACCCACGTCAACACCATCTCCTCCGTTGCTTTGGTTCGCCACCCTGCTCTCAATGCCCCAAACTATGTGATTCACACCAAGTCCAAGCAAGGCCTCGATCGCACTCTTTTCCGTGATCCACACGCGCTGGTACGCGCCTCGACGCGCTGAACCAGGCCTCCTCCCGTCTTTTGTGCTCCTGGTGCTCCCGCTCTTGCTCTCGATGACGCTCTTCGCCACTCGGCCTCTGCTTTTGACGGGATTACTCCTCGTGCTGGCTGCACTGATCCTCCTGCGCACACCGAGTCCTGGGACCGCACTACCTGCTTCTGTACCTGTGCCGCGGGCATTTACTACACCGAGACCGACGTGGAGGCAGGGTGGCATGAAGCCGCTCCCCGCCGTCACGACATACCGCGCACATATGATGTTGATGACCATCTTGGGCATCCTTGCGGTGGACTTTCCTGTCTTTCCACGCGCGTTGGCCAAATGCGAGAAGTATGGGGTTTCGATGGTGCGTTGATTCCGTCCATTTAGTTCGCTTCTGTTTTTCCGAGTCATATCGACATCGTCCCTCGCCGTTTTTTTTTCTTCATGGCCTCCATCTTCGAGTAGTTTTGCAGTCATCCATCAGCTAACTCTCCCTTTTTCGCAGATGGACCTCGGCGTTGGCTCTTCGTCTTCTCCAATGGCCTCGTCTCCGCTCTTCCCATCCTCAAGGAGCCCGCGTACCTCGACGCACCGTTACTCCCAAAGGTCCTAACGGTCGTGAAGCGGACGGCGCCGGTGATCGCCCTGGGCGTAGTACGAGTGGTTTTGGTCAAAGGGGTGGAGTATCCAGTATGTTCGACGTCTCCGTCTTTATTGCATCTCATTTCTCGGCAGGAACACGAAACAGAATACGGAACACACTGGAACTTCTTTATCACTCTCGCCTTGCTGCCCATCCTCCAAGTCCTGATGCACCCCTTGCTGAGAGTGCTCCCGGCGTCTTTGATAGGCCTGGGAGTCGGTGTCGGTACATTATTCCCCGCTAAATTGACTATTCGCCAAATATTGACGAGCATTGCCAGCCCAACAACTCGCGCTCTCTCCCGTCGGACTCGACCTAAAGGGCTACGTCAAGACCGCCCCGCGCGTAGGGTTGATCAGCGCAAACAAAGAGGGCGTCGTCTCCCTCGGCGGTTCGTCCACTCCACCGACCCCCAAGATGTGTATTCGACCCTGACGTCTCGCAGGGTACCTTGCAATCCACCTCCTCGGGCTCGCGGCGGGGACACTTGTCCTCCCGCCCTCCCCCGCGTTCTTCCGCCGGCGTGGTCGAGGAGGAGGAGTAAACGCGCAGCTCGGGGCGGCGCGGCAGAACGACAAGACCGCGATGGAGCTGGCGAGTTACGCCATAGTGTGGTGGGCCGTTCTTGGGGTGGTGTTGTCATTCCCTGTCGACGAGGGTGTGTCAAGGCAGACTGTGAGTTCTTCGACTACCGCTGGGCCGTTGACACTCACACTCTCGCGCGCGCGGCAGGCAAATCTACCCTACGCCCTCTGGATAACCGCATTCAATAGCTCCTTCATTCTCGGCTACCTCATCCTCGATATGGTCTTCTTCCCCGGACCGACCGCGCGCAAGAAGCCGTTTCCCCCCAGCGATGGGCAGACGGACGTCAGTCACGACGAGGTCGAGAAGCAGGACGCGCGTCGTGCGCCGGAATTACTGGAAGCCATCAATCTGAATGCACTTCCGTTGTTTCTGCTCGTACGTCAACCCGCGTTCTCGAAGGCAAGTGGTACTGATGCCCAAGCGCAGGCAAACCTGCTCACCGGCCTCGTCAATCTTTCCGTGGAGACAATGTACGCGACCGACGCTCGGGCGATGGGGGTGCTTGCGCTCTACGCGCTAGGGTTCTGCGGGGTTGCTTGGGGCGTGCGGGGAAGGAGGGTGAGGGTGCCGTTTTTGTGAGGCGGTGGGGAGGGTCCTCCTTGTCCTACCCAGCCGCTACGACGGCCTGCGTCGACGTCGCGAAGGAGTCAGCTTCAAGGTGGCGACACACACTCGATATGCTGTTCTACACAGACAATCCATCTCGTTATCCAGTATTGGCGGTACCCTGCGCCGCCGCGGAGTCTATTCGAGAAAGAGTGTAGGCAAACATGATAGCGTCAAAAGTATGCAGAAGAGGATATGAAGAGTCCATGCTGAAACGAGTCAAGGAGCGTGAGGACTAGCTACGCATATAAACGGGCGAAACCAAATGGGAGCAAGGCTT